CGGGGAAGACATTGCCTCCGAGATCCCCACGTGCGCGAACTTGGGGCGCGCGTCGGATTTCGGATTCACACTCCCCCCTCCTCGCAAGAGTTGAATAGACGAAGGAAAGAAGGAAACCGGTTCCGCCAAGTTCCGCAGGGCTCGCGTGCACGAAGCTTGCCGCCGTACTTCCACAGAGTGTCCCAGCTTTGATAGATAGTTTCACGTAACGACATTCAGTTTATTCGTTTTAAACGTTTTGGTGTCTTTTCGAGAAAAAACTTGGTGCCTCTGGGGTGTGGCCAGTACGCGGTTTGCATTTAGACAACGGAGCAAGTACTAAAATTTCGTTGCAGTACCCCTTTAACTCCCGCTGCTGTCTTGAACTTGTCCCAGCTGTCTTTCCCCCTCCCACCCCTTTTCACATTTCTTCTAAAGTCACTGAGAGCCTAAAAGGCTGGTTCACACTCAAATGTGTCAACGAGCCTTTACATTTTTATAAAGCTTGTGCCGGCGACCCCTTTAGCATTTAGAATCTAAAGGAATAGCCGGCTACCTTACTCATGCAGGGAAACATTCATTTTTGCAGAATAGCCAGCCGGCAAAAGCCAGACGGCGCCAGCAGAGTGAGAGCCCACGGTTATACCCCGTCTCGCTGTAACTTGGCAAAGGGTGAAAAATAGGCCCCACATCGTGCCGACGGCTTCGATATGCGCTACGTATGCGAGCCCAACGCACTCACATTGGAGCATAACGCCGCGAAAAGCCCGATACATCTTCGCAGTAAAAGCTCACGCTGGTGATACGTGTTCACGTTCCGATTGGCCCGCCAGGCCGCAGCTTCCGCCGTACTTGCAAGGTATGCGATCGCGGCTTCCTGGTCTACCCATTATTTCTTGCTTCAGACTCTAGGCTAAGCGGCGCCACCAGAGTAATAGCTCACGTTTGAACCATGCAGCCGCCAGACCCAAGGATACCCAATGTTTCTTGTTTCAGTCGCTAGATAGCGCCAAACCAAACCGCATTGCAGGTTGCCTAGAGGCAGCCGGCAACGGCCAGGCGGCGCCAGCATGGGTGAGAACGCACGGTTATATCCTATCTCGTTGTAACTTGGCAAACGGCGAACGATAAGCCCCACATTACGTGCCGAAGGCTTCGAAATGCGCGACGTATACGAGCGCAACACACACGTATTGGAGCATGACGCAGCGAAAAGCCTGATACTTCTTCCGAGTTGAGGCGCACTCCGGTGATACGCGGTCACGTTCCGATTGGCCCACGAGGGCCGTAGCTTCCGCTCCACTGGCACGTTACGCGATCACGGCTTCCTGGGATACCCAGTATTTCTTGCTTCAGACACTAGGCTCAGCGGCGCCACCGGAGTAAAAGCTCACGTTTGAACAACGCAGCCGCCACTCCCAGGGGTACCCAATATTTCTTGCTTCAGTCGCTAGATGGCGCCAAACCAAACAGCATTGCAGGTTGCCTATAGATAATGTCGTTGCGTACTGCTACGTTTCTTGTGTATGGCAGACCAGCCCGGTGGGCCGATGCTGGAGTCGACGAAGACACGACCGCGTGCTTTCTCAGGCAAAGCTTTTGATCTCCTCTGGAATAAAAGCATATGGATTTTTATGAAGACCCTTTGAACTAGACAAGGGTGAATGGGCGAACTACGAGACCTGAGTTACGGAGGCAGCGTGAGTGGAGCAAAGGTACAAAGCGTAACAACTGCTTGGATGAAACATGAATGGGTTAGAGTCTTGCGTAGCTGCACCGTAGTCCAAGGTCGAGTCAGCGACGGCGTGATCGAAGGGGTGTTCCCACGAGGCGAGAACGAAGCAGTCTTATGAAATACGGCACCACCGGCGAAGGCCGAGTGAGCGACGCCGGTTGCACCACCGCCGCGCGTGTCAAAGAAAAACAATACAACTCGACCAGGCTACCATAATCGGTATCAACTGTTTGGCTTGTCGTTGAAGGAATTCTCGGTCCTGGAGTCTGGTGCACAGTGCACTGTTCAGTGCGGAGGAACGCTGGCAATACGTCCCAAGATTGGAACTTGAGTGGATGAAGTGTTGAACCACGAAGAGTCCTTTGAGGCAGAAAGCTGACTGAAGCATACAGCATGCACAGGTGTTTTTCGCAGAACAGCGAAGCACGTTCGTAGGAGCATAACGCACACCGTTTGGTCGGCAAACACTTGAATACAAACGGTGACTCCCAAGCGATCTTCTCTCGGATCTCCCTGAAATCGCGAAAACCCCAATCAGTCTTTCTCTCTGTCCTCCTTAGCTATCGCCTAATCTCAAGTGATACTCATCTGCCAGGTGGGAAGCTATTTGGATTGAAGTTACCTCGGGTTTATCTTGAATCCAAAACCGGATTTCACGCAATAAACTTTCATGTGAGTTTTATAACGCAATCTGATTGATTGTTAAGTTTATCGTCGTACTCCTGCGCGCTACGTAACCATTCCTCAACATATGCTACCTGTATGTAGTCAAAATCCAAAATCCAAAATCCAGGAGGAGGGAAGGGTACTGAGGGTCACGTGGTGTCGGGGGGGGGGGGGGAGGGGTCACGTGACCTTGGGGGGTCACGTTACTTTGGGAAAGAATTATGTCACCTCGGGGAGGGGGGTCACGTAACCTCGGGGGTGGCCACGTGACCTCGGGGAGGAGGGTCACGTGACCCTCTCCCCGTGGTCACCGAAGGTACCCGATGTCCTCCCGAGGTCCTCCCGAAGGAACCCGAGGTCCTCCCGAAATCCTCCCGAAGGAACCCGAGGTCCTCTAAGGTCCTCCCGAAGGAACCCAAGGTCCTCCAGAGGTCCTCCCGAAGGAACCCGAGGTTCTCCCGAGGTCCTACCGAAGGAACCCGAGGTCCTTCGGGCGGACCTCGGGTTCCTTCGGGAAAATGTACCCATAATGCACCGCGCGGTTACGCCAACGGCGACGGCGACGGCGACGGCGACGCCGACGCCGACGCTGCTCAAGCCGGAAACGGGCGCCTAAGAGCTGCGCTTTAAAAAGAATTATGCAGCTCGCGGCCTCAGCGTCCCATTATTTTATTGCGTTCTTTCATATCTTCCACGAGCCGGTATGTTTCACTTTACGTGATATCGAAGCTGAAGCTACTTGCAAAAAAACATGTACTCTTGAACGATGCTCGCACTGCACGAGCGCGCGTGCTTGGAAGGGACACTGCAAGCTCGGAACTCGCTCTTGCAGCCTCTGCTACGCTGGCACTTCGAATGGAACGGAGAACGAAAAAACCGTAGTGGGGAAGCGGGATGACGCACGTTCAAAATGCGAGCCAAATATTCTATTTTGCTCGCCTGGAGCGCGGACCTCCGTAGCTCTCAAGTTTTGAGCTGCGCTCCAGGCGAGGAAACAGAATATCTTTGGCTCGCGTTTCGAACGTTCGTCATTACACTTCCCCACTTCAGTTTTTTCGTCCTCCGTTCCACTATACGTCCCAGCGTAACAGAGGCTCCAAGAGCGAGCTCCAAGCCTTCACTGTGTCAGTCAAGCACGCGTGCTCATGCAGTGCGAGCATCGTTCAGGGGAACGTGCTTTTGCAAGCTTCGGCTTCGCTATCACGTAAAGTGAAACCTCTACCTCGTTGAGTGAAACACACATGCTCGCGGAAGCTATAAAAGAAAGCAATACAAATACTAAAGCTAAAGGAACGTTTAATGGGATGCTGTGGCCGCAAGCTGCATTTTTTTTTTCGTTTTTCTTTTTTTCTTAGAATTTTTGTTATCGTACATCGACAGATGCGAACATGGCACGTGCAACATCTGATGTTACAGCGCCACGTAGATGATGCAGCCAGCATAACATGGTCGCGTCTTGAGGACGCGCTCGCGCCCCCTGCCCCAGAGCGACGAGCCTTTGTCTTCGTCAGCACCGCATTTGGTGACCCTTTGATGATTTTTGGTTTACGAAATTCCGTTTCACCCGTCAATCCCCAGAAGGATAGGAGATCGGGTTTGGTTAGCGTTCCAAGGTAATTCCCAAAATAATTCCCCAAAAACTTGGGTAATTTCCAAATATTAATTAATTACAGTTTGCCTCTCATTTGATGCTTCCTGTGTGCATTTGTTTTGAATCTAAATAAAATATTTATCAAGCGAGATATATTTGTATCAGGGTAAACACGAGCAAAAGGTAGTGATCTTCTGAGCAAATCGGAACATGTAAGCTTTCTATGTACCTACCATTTCGTTCGTCAGGGACGTAAGGAAATCATAGCGTGAAAAGAAATCGAAAACAATCAAAACAAGTAATGACCTATTGCAAGCAACTCGAAACATAAAAAATAATATTAAAGTTTTTATTATTGACTGAAAATAACCAAGCTGCTTTTCTTGTGGTATGGCAGGATTTAAAGCAATACAAAGTACTTAATTGAAGTGTAATTATTATGTAAAGCTATTATTTCATTCTCATTGCCTTCAATATACGATGGATTGGTCAATGGATATGTGATGTTTAAAAATACATGTAGTGATAAATAATTAGTTTCTTCTATCTCCAATTGAATTAAACTTACGTGATTTAAGTAAAATAAATCTGATTTAAATATAATTTTATGAGATTCTATTTTCAAAAAGATATTATATATTTTTTTACCTTTTTAAGACTCTACGGGAAGTAAAATTGGTTTACATGTAAACATTAAATACTTTGTTGTGGGACATTTGAGTCTAAGTTTTAACAATGGCATAGAAACGAATATTAGTTTGTCTTTGCTTTGTTTTTACAATGGTAGTATTTCTTGGAATGTCAAGACAGGCTTTCGACTTTCAAGTCGAAAGCCTGTCTTATCTGTTTGTCTTCAATGTCCCTCTTTTTTTACCGTGAATTAGAGACCAACACGCTCAACCATCTACCTTAAAAACGTTCACTTACAAGGCATTTGCATTGGAACATTACCCATATCCACGCTTTTTTTTTCTAGGTGAACAACTTCCTGCGACCTACCTGAAGTCCTTTCTCAATCATCGGAAGAAAATGATAGTGGCAAATATTTCTTTGCTAATGATTTGTCTGCAAATCACCTCCAGCATTACAACCGCCGGTAAATAGAATGTTCCCTCTATAGAAGCTTTGCAGCAGCTGTGCATGGACGCCACCATAACTGACCTTCAGTTTTTGTTTCCTCGTATTTCGTTTATTTCACTTCATTACCATAGCAGGTTAGGTTATTGCCATATTAGATTCAACTGTGTCCTTTTCTAAAGCATCGGACTTTGTAGAGGATCGTCAACTACCGTTTCAGTTGCTCGGCATCTCGGTAAGACAAGAAAAGGTCAGCAGTGGCGGCTTTAATATGGCGCGTGCGTAAAGCGTCCATATTGTAACTGGGAGACCGAGCCTTTAAAGACCAGGCACAGCTGATTAGTTCCCCACCTTGTTCTGCCCGTTGGCGCGGTTGTGGTCATACGCTTCGTTACGTCATAGATCAGAGGCAGATTAAAGGCAGGAAAACACATGAATACAGTCGCAGAGACTGAGAACGCAAGGTCACCGTTCATTTACCGGTGATGTTTTTGTTTATCAGATAATATAGGACTATTAGTAAACCGCTACCATGTTCCGCGTACTACTCTATGCCGGAGCTTTTGAAGCATACTTTTAAGCGCGCGCCCTGCAGTCACGGTATCACCTGTGCTTTTTTGAAGCCGCTTAAAAGCGTGCTTCAAAAAAGGCTCCGGTAGTGCGGTACGGGGAACACGGTAACGGTTTGCTTCAAAGTCCTCAACTACGCACTTACAGAGAGACAACGAAAAGTCGTGACATCGCGCATTGTGGGTTGTTCAATTTGGTCGATACTCCGTTTCACACGAAGTTTAAGCGCAACCAACGTTACTAAAACACTCAGTTAGGAAACTCCCATGGAGACAGCTCTGAAAAAGTGGCCCCAATCTGTCTCCGAGCACCGAGCTAATGACGAACACAACGCCAGCTGGATGGATGGATTGATGGATGAATACGGCTGAGCCCTTTGGATCGGGCGGTAGCTTACGCCACCTAGCCATTTTGTTTTACCATTTAAGCTTAGAATATTTAAATGTGAAATCTATATTCACTCCGCACTGCAAAGAAAGTGAGGCTATGAAACCCCCTTGCCATCAGTGAATCAGAAAATGCCAGCTAATGACGAACACAACGCCACCGTTTCTCCCGCAGCGGCCACTCGAAGAACTGCACGTGACTTGTATTTTGGCTTTAAGAACAGATACAGCGATAGAGGTTACAGGGGTGCCACCCACGTCTCCCCGGCGGACGCACCGCGTTCAACTACCGAAGTTAAAATGCACCTAGGGCGAGTCGCGCTACCTGAAAGGCCCGCTGAGGCATGGTTGTATGAAAACAATACTAATTGTTCCGCAAAATCTTGCGAACTAAAAATGATAAAAACATCACACGCCCATCATTTGGTACTAAACTCCAATAAATTTCATACAAAAAGAGTCTTTTCCGTTTGTTTTTACGCAAAAACAAGCTTTCAAAAAGCTCGAGGTGACCATAGTACAGACGAACGAAAAAGAGTGGCGCTGTTGTCGCATTTAGCTCGGTCTCGGTGGACGCCAGCGGCCCAGGTTTCGACGACGAATTTCCCAACTGAGTGTTTAGTAACGTTGAGCGCAACCAAGGCTACGGTGCAAAGGGAACCAATAAAGCAGTGCCAAAAAATACGTCGTCATGGCCTGCGTTGCCTTTGTGGGTTCGATATCACCGGTGAAACAAATCAAACACAGAAACAAAAAAAAAAAAAGAAAAAAGCCAAGGGTCGCAGCTCATTTACTGTACGTGATTGGTTCAGCCAGTGATGGGAAAGGAACAAAGACTATGAGCGTCGTGACGATGCACTTTTGTCAGTGCTTGATTGGTTTTATTGGATCGTAGCCTTGGTTGCGTTTGGGCCCGATATAAAACGGATTGTGCCTACATCGGGTACGAATGAAATGCGAACAGCGGAGCACGTGGCCTTCGATACATGCGGATACGGCCTTCGCAAAATTTGCCTTCTGCGATTTTTGCAAGGGTCTATACTCGGCGTCAACTCCCTTTCGCAACAAAAAGGCAACCAGGAACTGAAATAACTGCGGAGTGGAGAGAGGGGTTAGGAGGGCACGAACAACAACTCCTAGGTAAGAAAGCCTAAGTGCTGAATTTTCTCGCGTCAATAAATAAGGCCACCGTAGGCCAGATAGTGAATACGGCGTCAGCGTTCGGCTCGAGCTCGTGTTCAATAGGGAGCACGACATAGCCGAACGCTGATGCCGTAGTCGTGTCCGATCTCTGCCCTGCGGTGTAGCCCTCGTTAGTGACGCAGCAAAATTCAGCTCTTATAGACCCTTTGTATCGCTTATTACCTGGGCGAAAAGTGCTGAGTCACTGAGCTGTGGACGCATGCGCAGGGTCTGATATACCGCGCAGCGGGGCAACTGCGCATGCTCAGAAGGCGTTCCACAACCCAGCACACAAAGATGGCAGCGCTCAGAAGGCGATTTTTTCAAAGGTCTATACTCGGCGTCAACACTGTTTCGTGCTGCATTGCCAAGGCCAGCGTTGCAGTGCACAGCCGTTCTACAGCAGAGCGGGGTTGCAGTGCTGTGGCCTTGAGCTCTTAAAACCGTGCAATACAGCCAAAGCTTCGCTGGGAGAGAGCGTGTGTCAACCTGTTCAAGAGGAGGGAAAGGAGGAACGAGAGAGGGGCCGGGATGCCCCGTTCCTCCTTTTTTTCCTCGTGAAGACGTTGGGATAAACTCTCTCCCCAGTAGCTTTGGTTGTACTGCAGGGCTTTGGTGAGACCGTACGGAGAATAAGACCACAGCGCTGCAGCCCCGCGGTGCTGTGGCTGTGGTACTTGGCTATATCTTGCATCTCATTCGCACGCGCTCCACCTCAAGTTCAAACACATAGCCGACGCTACGAGCTGATGGGACCAATCAGGGAGCGTCGAAAGCGCACCATCATGGTGTTCGTCATGTTTTTGTACGTGTTCAATGATCACTGAACCAATCGTAAGCAGAAAAAATGAAAGCCGTTTACAACTCCCTGTAACGCAGAATTAGAGCGCAGCTCTTGAGGAGGAGGAGGGAAGGGCACTGGGGGGGGGGGGGGTCAAGTGACCTCGGGTGGCGACGGGTCACGTGACCTTGGGGGGTCACGTGACAATGCTGATAGCGTCATCAGTGACGTCACTGATGACGTCACTGGTGGCGTCATCAGTGACGATGCGGATGCCGGTGACGTCACTAATCACGTCATCAGTGATGATGACGATGCGGATGCCAGTGACGTCATCCATGACGTCACTGATGACGTCATCAGTGGCGATGACGTCAACGGGGTCACGTGACCTCGGGGGGTCGCGTGACCTTGGGAGTGGGGTCACGTGACCTGGGTTTCCATCGTGACTCTCGTGAGGGTAACCCTAGTAACCCTCGTGAGGGTAACTCTCGTGACCCTCGTGAGGGTAACTCTCGTGACCCTCGTGAGGGTAACCCTCGTGACCCTTGTGAGGGTAACTCTCGTGACCCTCGCAGGGTAACTCTCATAACCCTCGTGAGGGTAACTCTCATAACTCTCGTGACCCTCGTGAGGGTAACCCTTTTAAGGGTTACGAGGGTTACGAGGGTAACCCTCGTGAGAGTAACCCTTGTAACCCTCGTAACCCTCACGAGGGTTACGAGGGTTACTCGCGGTTACGCCGACGCCGACGGCGACGGCGACGGCGACTCCGCTCAAGCCGGGAACGGTCGCCTAAGAGCTGCGCTCTAAAAGGCCCAGTTACCTGCGCATTTGACGCTGCTTGCTCGGTTCTATTGCCTCGTAGCATCGGCTGCGTCTGGACTTCAGCTGAAACGAATTATAGCTTTGACAGAGTCTGAGTACTGCAGAAGCTATGCTAGCCTCGATAGCTAGCACAAAATAGTTGACGCCGAGAATAGCTTTGTCAGAGTTGGAGCACTACAGATGCTAGGCTAGCCTTGACAATGTAGCACGAAAAAGGTAACGCCATGTATAGGCTTCCTTATCTCTGAGTTGCTGGTATGCACATATCGGAATAGACGTGCAACCTCACAGCCACTTTTCCATCCCGTCATTTTATCAATGCCTAGTTACCTCTTGGTAGGTCAGCGTGTACCGCAGGCCACGCGCTCCGCTGTTCACATTTCATTCGTACTCGGTAGTACACATCCCGGAACCCCACACAGAAATTGGTGCAAAGCGTGTACGGTTGACCGCTTTGAGAAGGTCCCGAAGCGAAACTTTAAAATCAGATGATTGCAAAGCTAAACATTCTACAAAACAAAAAAGAACCATATTTGTATTTAAAAATGTAGGGATGGGTACTATGTTTAAATGTGCCATAACCGCAAAAATGAAGCGGATCGCCTGCTACAGAATCTAATACAGATTTGACGAGCATTCGAAGCTCGCGTCCAGTGGCACATTGAAAGGCATATACTAGAGTTGCCAAGCTGCCAAACACTTCTGCCACTAAACACTGCGCGTCGCATAACAAGTAAATGTAACTTCTGACTTTGATTACGAATGGCCTAAATTTTATACAAAAACTGCCGGTTTTAAAATCTTTTTAGGGTTGAATGAAAACATATAACGTGTATGATCACCTGGTTAGTGTAAGACAGTTATTAAATAGACGCTGGTATTTATCACTAGCGATTAAAAAGAGCTGGGAGATTCAAACAACCATAGGAAGGTAAAGAGCAAAATATTTGTACAGAGCAGCCTGATCTAATTCCAGCCTGCTTGAAAGGGAAGATCGTTTCATATGGGGACAAGTTGAGCTTAAAACAAATAAATATATATTTCTGAACATTGTTAGGAATATTATGAAACGCCTTTTACATTTGTAGGTGCAGACCCACCAGGAATAAATATAACAGGTGGTATCAATAAACTCGCACCGAATTGCGAAACAACAGTCAAGAGGTTATGTGAGAAGGATGAATTAAAGAAAGGTGCGATAACAAAGGTAAGTGCTCGAGAAGTCTGAGACAGCTAATGTTTTTTTACAAAAGCTACGATAGTAATCAGGCCTAATTTTAATATTTGTGCGGATATCTTCAAGTATATGCTCAATTGCTCTGGCTCGGCAACCGCTGGAACGATATTGGACGGGGCTCGTTTGCGATATACATGTGAAAACGCTTGCATACCCAAGGGAGCAGCGTTTAACAAGAAAACTAGATGATGAGTTTAATTTTCATTGTGGTGGGATGGTGGCGATCAAGAAAACATGCTACATATCCCAGCTTGGCTCGAGTGCTCTTTGTTACACTGCACTATTACGGTACAAATGCTGCACTTACAGTTAAAACAGACCAATGAGTAATAGGTATTTACACGTAGTTATCTTCATGCGTTATAAATATCACTTGCAGATTGATGTGAAACTCCGCGAATGCCGCCTACATTGCTATTCTAATGGTGGTACGCACGTTTCGAGTATGCATCTTCCTGATACCATGCCATGTGCCCTTGGAGCGGTGAGTCAACGTTTTACGTTAAAATATACAAGCAGTGGCTCAGACATGTTTCCTAGCGTGTCGGAATGTTCGTCATAAATATATAAAATCTGGGCTAAAGATTTATTTTTTATTTTTTTTGTGAAGTATGTCATTTAGAAATGCACATATAGTGTTGGTAGGGTCCTTCAGTTTCGGGTTTGATATTTGTTAGAAATCCGGGAGTTAAAATCGGGCACCATATTACAAGCTGAGAATCCGGGCGAAATCGGGTTTTCAAAAACATATTCTGGATGGAATTCAGGATTTTCACATTATCTCGAAATATATAAGAACATAATTAACAATAAAAAATTATTCATTTTTATAATTTTTGTTTTTAGGTTAAGTTATTATAGCAGCCCCCCCCCCTCCCTCCAATAAAATAAAATAAAAATGATTCTATTTTGGCTTTTTCTTGTTTTTGTTTCGCGCAAAACTAATAGCTCCTTCCCCTGGCAAATAGCGAGCGCTCGGCGCGCGCTCGCCGAGCGGATTCTTGTTGGAGCCGCTCGGCGAGCGCTATTCGCGTCTCCAGCTCGACGCTCGCCCTCCCGCGGCGGAAACGGGAAGCGCTCTAGTGAGGGTCCCCCGATTCTCCTGCTCAGCGGGCATGGCGGAACTGCTCGCGATCATGGCTCGCGAAATGTCGTTTCCGAATGCAAACAACACTCTTCACTGTCCCAACGTAGTGCTGCAGCCGGTATGGGATTATTGCTTACTGGAGAGTTTTAGTATTGCGCATAGAAGCAAACGCAAGCGGTGTGCGTTTGCGTTAGAGTTGCGTGCCCCAGGTTGTGCGTGCGCCTCATCGCCATGCGCCATCCAAGACCGCAAATTCTGGCTCCGCGCACGCGCAGTGTGGAACGCGCAAAGCTAACGCGAACACACAGGGCTTGAGTTCGCTCGTATACGCAATAGTAAAACTCACTAGTGTTTCACCGGCTTCCAACACCAACGAAACGGGCTGCAGTGAGCAGACGTGCAAGCAGCTAGGCGTTCCTTCGAACTGGAAAGGCTGAGATTGGCAAAACGACGGCGAGCATATACAAAGGTAAATAAATGTTATAAAAAAACTAGTAATTAAAAAAAAAGCTTTTTTTTTTTTTCTTTTTTTTTTTTTTTTACTTTTGGGCATTTGGTCTGGAAGTATATTGGCGGCGACTTTGGACGTTTCGCCGATTGTCAAAAGTCGCGACTTCGATAGCACAATGTACTTTACCCACAATTAATGTAATTTTACATGGATTTCTCACATTAGCTAGAATGTTTTCATTGATTTTAGACTATTTTTATTTTATTTGTAATTAATATGTAGCAATTGGAACCAGTGATGATAATTAGCACAGTTTTCATTGTCATATTTCTTCGCGCGTTTAAAATTAGATCATAAGCAACAAATTATATTAGAGCTTGAAGAATTACTTATTCAAATATGTTAATTTTAATATTATTATTATTAATACAAATCACGGCAATGTATGCCTCTAATTAACGCCAAGATCACGAGAATACTCTATTTAACCATAATAGTCTTTCCAGAAAGGTATAATTCTGTTTTCTTTTTAGCATATGAAAAACTCTGACCTAGTTATCAAGATAGACCAACAGTTAAACGCTGGATGTAATATGAAGTCCTACGCGTCACGCGGTGCTATAAAAACACACACACAGCTGTCTGACTCGGATTCCGTCTTCGGTTGTTGCAGTGAGAGCAGCGTTTATTAGTTTATGCGTTTTGTGTACATATTGTAAAAATTGCAATTATTCTCTTATTCTTGTGCAGGGATAATTGTCATTATTTCCCATGACAATTATCTGAGCGAGAAAAAGGCAGCGAGAACGCACAGATATCAGCACAGATTGTTTCAACAACTACGAATATCAGCCTGGATCGAACAGTATGTCACAAAACAAAGTTTCCGCGAACAACTTTTTTAAGTAGGTAAATAATTACGATGTGAGACACATCTTGTGTCATAAAAGAATTCGAAATTAAGACATCTGTCGAGAAACTAAATCCAAAATAGATGTAAGTTTCGGTTTCGCTCCGGAATTAAAACGCGCATCCTTCCGTAATTAATACGCTAAACACCGTTCTTGTTTTCAGGTTAAAGAGGTGACCTGCGCTCATAAAACCCTAGCTTCCTCGTATTACCAGAAATAATTTATGTCGCTCAGTGAAGCCGGCACACTAGACAGGCTCAACAGCGGCACGCATCTCTGACCCTCACTAAACCCGCCATCTTGGAAAATGAGTGGCGCCACCTATAGTTAGTTGGAGTCGCGAATAGCGCTCGCTGAGCGGCTCCAACCGCTCCGTGGAAAAGTGGCGGAGCGCGTCGAGCGGTCCGGAGTAGCTCTTCGCGCAGCCTTTTTCGGAGGAGTACGATCTGTAGTCACTCGCAGCGTTTCAGTTTGTCTATCAATAGTGATGGGACGAATCTTTATCCGAATCAAAATTCGGACCCGAATCTGGAGATTCGGAACGATTCGGAAGACTAGCCGAATCTGAAGTGATTATGAAAAGTTCGGAAAGATTCAGAGCGTTGCCACGGTTGCCAGATCACGTTGATGAGTGTTTCAACTTTTCGTGACATTAAATTCACTAAATTCTACAAAATGCACAAAATAATGTTGTAACGTAATAGCATAGTAATAAATAAAATGTTTCGCTTTTTTTAATATTATTTTGGATGCTTGTGGAGAACGGTAGCCAGACTGGCCAAACATCGCGGGGAAATTGGTTTCGGTTCCGGATTACAACCACTGGGTGGAGCTGCGGTTGAATGGTTGCACCGCGTTTCGCAGCGCCACGTTGACGTCACGTCGCGGCCGTACGGCTGATGATTAGTGTTGCCATCCTTCTACAAGATAGTTTTGGTTATGCCGTAGATGCCCAAAACCGTGCACTTTAAGCCGGGATACTTACAAAACTACACCCAATATCGAAAAAGATATAATTGTAATTCCAGGACCCTTCTTTAGATGAAAATATTCGTAATCCCAAATTCAAAAATATTGACCGGAGTTGCCTTTTAACAGAACATGATTGTTACACAAAACCATGGAACGTTGGCGCCTTATCTCAATTACCATGAATATGTTCTGACGCGTTTGGTGACGAGGAAGTGCGTAGCCCATTTTTAAAATGTGAAAAACATGTTTCCCTTTTTTTTTCTCTTAGAAACACGGTACATATAATTTACCTGCGATATTTTCTAACTCTTCAGTCAACTCTTTGACTGTCTTTTATCATTTCTTGTAATGCCTACTTAATGAGTTTGGACTTAATTTAGCTCCGCTTTGTATACACAGACATGCCAAGATGGAAACTGCGTTTGCGAAGCCTGCAATCAAATAGCACCACGCCCACCAAGATGAGAAGTGAAGCGACTCTAAACCTTCGAGACTGGACAAATAAAGTTAATATATGTATATTTTTTTTTTCTTTTACGTTTTGCGAAACCAAGTTAGTTCTCTTCCTATGACCTTTGGCAGTGTATGCTTAAGAGCTCATTTTTTACTTTTAAGCTCTCACTCGCTGGAACAACCACGAGCAAACTAAGCCGAATATCGAACTGTTTATTGTGAGACGTTTACAGTCCCCCAATAACAGAGTGGGATACAAATGCGTTATTCCTTAAACATTTAGATGCAAACAATATATTATAAAATTATAGTGACTTTAATTAAGAAAACAACAATGACAACAATAAAGATTACACGCTGCTGCTGGTTATATACAGCTTGTAAAGAAAATGAAAGACGTTTACAAAATCTCCCTACTGCGAAATTAGAGCGCAGCTCTCGAGGAGGAGGGGAGGGTACGGGGGTTAGGGTAGGCCCGTCCTCCTCCTCCATAACCTCTCCGCCCCTCCGCCTCCTTCCCTGCTCCTCTCCTCTTCCTGTCCTCCATCTCTCCTCCTCCCCTCCTTTCCTCCTCCCTTTCTCCTCTCCTCTTCCTCCACTTTTATTTATCCTCCTCACTCCTCCTCCTCCTTCTGCTCCTCCAGCTAAATTTAGCTGGAATATGGACGCCACGTGACTTCAGCACCAATTCAATTTCGCCGATACGTTTATCGGCGAAAATGACGTCCCATGACTTCGTGTCACGTCACACATGAACAAATTCAGTTTCTTCGCTAGAATTAGCGAGAAAATTGACGTCATGTGACCTCAACAGCAATTCAATTCCCCGCTAGATTTAGCGGGAAATTGAATTGGTGTTGAGGTCACGTGACGTCACTTTTTTCGCTAAATTTAGCATGTTTACGCCGACGCCGACGGCGACGCCGCGAAACACGGAAACGAGCGCCTAAGAGTTGCGCTCTAAAAGTAATGTTTTTACCTTGCTTCCTCAGTACGGAGTAGCACAGTATCGATATACGTGACGTGTGGCTGCCCTTTATTGGCTTTACCTGATTTACGTGCATATCTCATGCGTTCAACAAGCGGAGCTAACGGAAAAGGAACAGCTCTTTCACGAGTGCGCGCTCGCAAGTGTTCGCAAGAGTATTTCTTGTGGGGAGTTTGGTAGCGATGTGTGTTTACGCACCGCAGCTTGGAGCACGGGGACCCTGGAAGGAAAGCTTGCGCTGCAAAGCCCGGCAGTCGCTGTTTCAATCACCACCGGCCGTCGTTCATACTCCAGAGGCTTCAGCTCACGCAGAACGTGCACCTTGTAAGCTCGCATGTTGTTTTGGTGAAGGATCCGACTCAAGATAAAGTCGGAGACGCCAAACAAATGTGCTGCTCTCTTCGTCGATATGTGCGGGTACACTTCGAACGCTCCCAAGAGCTGTTCCTTTTCCGGCGTGCTGGCGAAGACATGCTTCTTTTTGGCGATGCGGCTTACCTCACCCGAAACGCCGGACCCACTTCCAGATGGTTCTTTTCGACGGTGGCCTGCAACGGTGCTTGAGTCGGTATCGACGGCGAACCTTCTTGAACTTTTGTCCTCTGAGTACCACAGCACGACATCCGTGCGTTGCTTTTGAGTTAGTTGCCTCATGAGGCACGAAACTCCAGGGAACACGACGGAAGATAAAAGCGATCAACGGAAGGACCGGTGTCCAGGTTCCCGAAGAGCAAGTAAAGCAGACGACGTCTGCTTGAATCATTATTTCCAGAAATGTTATATGTGAGCACACGCACCCACGTACCGAAGTGTTCATTATATTTTTTTTTATTTTTTCGTTCTGTAAAAAGTAGTGCGTAAGCAAGACACCAGAAAGCATTGAGCAACAATTCCGTTTTGCTTCCAAAGAACAAAACCAGTGGCTCTGACCAGCTGCTCTGACAGTGACGGAATGGAGGCATAATCTTTGCGATGCGACGGAAAGCAGACGCGATTGTTCCACTTTTCTCCGGGGTCTACGTCTGCTGGTAGGGCTCAGTTCTTATTTCATTTTAACTTATGATCCACGCAAGCTCATGCTGTCAAACTTTTTCATTCTGGCTTAAATTTCTTGCGTCACAATCTGACGAAGGTTCAGCTTTCTGTAAAGCGTAGTTTAGTTATGCGGGCTAGAAAACTGTGTTTACCTTTTTCGATCGGACCCTCATTTTTTCCTCAAACATAAAAGTATACGTATGTCGAATAAAGTTCCACAGCTGGGAGAAACAAATCTACAACGAATATTCCAGATGTCAATAATTTATCCAACCAATATGAGAGCTGAGAAACGGAACGCAGCTAGCTAAGCACCTTTTGTTATGGGCGGGGCATAGAGAAGCGCATTTCCTGCACCTAAATAACGGCGTAAATATTGGAATAAATATTTTTCCGCGGAATTGTGTTTTCAAAGTTATGTGTCTAATTAAGGCGCTTTAAGATAATTTTTTTTTATTTTTATTTTAGTGCTTTTTTATTGACGCTGGAGGATAATTTTAAAGAATGCTGAAGTTCCTTATTGTGAGCTACAAAAGTGCTGCCTCGTAAAGTGGATAAACGCACAACAAATATTAACGCATGCATTTTTACTTTTTTCTCAAGACTTCTAACATCGAAACACAACCAAATACCTGGTTAATAACTGCGCAGACGAAAACTCTTTACGAAGGTCAAGCGGAAGAACTCCTGGTCTTGCTTAGCAGAGGCCAAATGCATCCAGAGGGAAATTAAGAAAAAAAGAAAAAAACTCTATACAGCCCACCGCAAGAACCCAAGCGCTTCTGGAGTTGCGTCAAAAACCAGCGAAAAACATCGATGAGCCCCTGGTTTCTTCATAATAAGAAGCCGGTTACTTCACAAGTCGAAATAGTTGAATTTTTCTTCACTCATTTCGCCTCAATCTGGTCTTGTCGCAACCAGAGCCTGGCCGCAGCACTCCCCTGAGCTCGTAACCACCTGCAGAGAATCCTCTTACCGTGCCCCCGTGTACTATAGCACCGACTCCTTCTCCTCCATCACCATAACAAAACACGACTCAAAAAAATGCTTTCTCCAGGCTCCGCCCTTCCCAGAGTCCCAACACAGATGCTGGGAATTCTTCGCTCCTTAGGCTTTCATGTCGCAACATTCACCCAGTGCTAAAAAAAAGTTGTTCCAACGGATCGTCGATTCTGGCTCCGTGCTTTCGTCGTGGATAAAGGCCCTGGTCACCCCTATCTATAAGGGAGAGGGAATGCACACTGATGTCATTGAGTCTTACCACCCAATCGCCTCCAGGTCTGTCGTTTACAGGAGATTAGAGCGTATTGTCAACAAAACGTTACCTCACAGAAAACATTGTGCTCTCCAACACTCAACATGTGTTCCGTCCCGGACGGAGCTCTTTAACAGCACTGGGGGTCGTAGTCCACACAATGAGTACGTCTCTTGACAACCGGTTGGCATGTGAGCGAATGCAGCTTGACTTCACAAAGGCATACGACCGGATCGATCATCACCTCCTTTTCATGAAACTCAGTTAAGCAGGTATGCGGGCTTTTTACTCCATTGGCTGCACAGCCTGGTCACAGAGAGGACGCAGAGCGGACTGTTTCACAGCTCAACATCATCATCCTGCGACGTTTTCACGGGGGTGCCTCAGCATAGTGTTGTTGGTCCCACGCTCTTCTCAATTTACATCGATGGATTCACTAAAAACCTACTTACTACGGCCATTCTGCACGCAGACGACTTGACCCTGATCAAGCCCCTCAGCTCCCCGCGCACGTACTTGGAGCTTTAAGCTGACCTAGATGCGTGTTACCAGTACCTCTGAACCACCTGTTCTCAGTAAATGTCCCAAATAGCGTGACGATCACGGTCACCACTGGTGCTAAGAACCTATTTAAAGGGGCCCTGCAATCATATTTAAGCTTCTCTACCTTTTTTGCGGTTTCCACGTCTCTTGGGGTTCGGGCAAGCCAGCGGGCACGGAGAGAGTAAGTAAATATCAGTGCGTCATACTTTAACCGGACGACGCGAAAACCTCCTGCACCTACGGGGGCGTCCCGCGGTGCCGAAAGCGCGCGATATGTGACGTCTTTGGTACTGGGTTTACTACTGGTCAGAGCCGCTAAAAGCTTCTTTTTAGTCAAAATACAAAATTTAAGGGGCGCGAACAGTTTCCATTATTTATAAAAAGTAGTTTTGGTTCGGTATTTTAGATCAGAAAAGAAACAAATGCAGTTTAGTAAGTACGGAAACAAGAAATGACCCGTCGACATACACGCCACCAAGCGGCGGAAAGGGCGGCGCATACTAGAAAGGTGTAGTGGGATCAGGCACCGACGAGCGGCAGGCGTATAAAGGTCGCGGATGTGCGCGGCGGCGCTGCGGTCGTATGAACTGGAGGATCCGACCGGTTCCGAGCGCTCCGAAGGCCTTCGGCGAGTAGCTTTGGCCTGCGGTTTGGCCATTTCGCTGTATGGCAGCGCAAAGTGGCTCCCTTTCTTAACTGATCTGTTTGCTGTCATTTGTTGCCAATGAAGCGTCATGCCGAATTAACGTTTAATCGCGCAGCAAATGCAGTGCGAGTCGCCCTGGCTGGCCGTTTCATACAGCCTATTCAGAACATGCTTTAATGGCGCCCTCTCGAGCCGTCGACACGGAGTGTGGCAGGCGTGAGCGCCCGCTGGGCTCATTACACCTCCTCTAGTTCACGGCCACTTAAACGGCCAAGGACGTCATGAAGGAGGTTATTTTTTGCTTGTTTTTGTAATTTTAATTTGCCTATAACTTTTGTTATAAAGCGAAATTCGAGAAAAGAAAAGTGCCTTTAAGTTACTACGTTCAGTGCTCTCCGGTTTGGTGCAAATTAAAAGCCAGTAAAAAAGTCCTTGCAGGGCCCCTTTAATCGTCCTGGGTACTGTCTCCCTCCAGAAAGTTCTTCCCACCAAGCTTTTGAGAGTGAGCTTAACAACGGTTTGAGGTTTGCTGATCATGTGGGTACCATAGTAAAAAAAAGGCACGC